TCTTTCCCAAAGCCAGGAATGTTTTTCTTAACTTTTGTGTTCAGGACTGGATTTTTGAACAAGCCTCACAGTTTACAATGCCCCTCTGATAAGAGCTCCCTCACAGTAGAGATGTGAGGAAAACATGAATTGAATGGGTAGGATAGGACTGTCTTCAAGTCTGTAATACCAGAATTAAATTTCCAGGCATATTCCTTAACTGTGCTAATTTGTAACTTCCTGATCCTGAGGCCAGTTTTTCACTGCCCCCCACCCCCCACCCCACTCCCAGCATAGTTGAAAGTGGCGTTTGTTCTGCTCTGAACAACACAGGCTTGTCACTCTCCCCAAGGGCCTGTTATGGCAGCTGTGAATCACTCAAGCAAAGTGTGTTTCAGTCATGCCACTTCACACCTCTTATACTAAGCAGGGCTGGAAATAAGTGGCACAGGGCTGGGACAGGGCAATTAAAGAAGCTCTTTGACCTCTTTGTATCACCAGAGAGTATGAACTGAGCCACCACATTGCCTCAGATATATGTACATAGACACACCTGTAACACCAAATGCAGGACAATGTCCTCAGATCAAATAGTGGAAGAAAATAGTCACAACCATATATACCAAAGGATACAATTTAAAAAAATGAACACATATGAAAAGGACAAATCACATTTCAGAACAGGAGGGGGATGCGGGGGTAAGATACCCATTTCCAACAAACATCCCACTCTCCCCACCTCTAATATCATCAATTCACAGACACTTACCTTCCTTCCTTCCCCCCCCCCCGCATCCCCCCCCCGTTTTTGAAAGAGATTTTTCCTTTTTTTATTTGTTCATTTTTTTTAATTGTATCCTTTGGTATATATGGTTGTGACTATTTTCTTCCACTATTTGATCTGAGGAAGTGGGTCTGGCCCACGAAAGCTCATCATCTAATAAACCATCTTGTTAGACTTTAAAGTGCTACATTGTCCTGCATTTTGCTTCAGCTACCCCAGACTAACACGGCTACATTTCTATCATTGTAACACCAAAACATTAATCAACAAATCCCCAGTGGAACCTGTGCAATTGCTGTCAGAAACTTATTCCTCCAGCCTTCTCATCCATCTTCATGGTCTGTTTTGTAGCCACCCTTCTTTGTGAGGAGATGGGCTACCCTCAGAGTTTGTCAAAACCCTTTCTAAACTGGGAGGAGTGGGATGCAGAAGAACAATGCATTCACATCCCTCAAAGAAGAGAATGGGTTGGTCCCTGAAACACTTCCCCCCAATTCTGCTTTTTCTGCCTGGCAGTGATATTTCATGTCCATGATGCTGGTCCACAATCAATTGTATTGACACTGTCTCTATTAATGGAAGTTAACCAGTATTTAACTTAAAGGATCTTTCCCATCAAAAGGCATTCAGGGTACATCTACACACAGAGCTATTTTGGGATACTGGAAGTATCCTGAAATAGCTATTCTGTATGTACTGAAGCAGCCCATTATTTTGAAATAGATTTCAAAATAACGGGCAGCTTATTCCTCACAAGGTTTAAGGGGAATTTCGGAATAGCGAGTTATTTCAAAATTCAGCGCTGTGTACACAGTGCCAAATTACAAAATAAACTATTTCAAAATATACTCAAAATAAGCTGCACAATTTGCATAGTGAAAATTGCATAGCTTATTTCCAGCTAAGGGTGCTGTGTAGTCATACCCTCAAAGAAGAACAACCCTTAAAAAAAGGTTCTGTAATAGCAATGAAATATAGAGGGTACTATAGAAATAATCCTAAAATTTTATAGAGTTTAATAGAGAACAACATCTGTTGTTTCTCTTTTTCAGTAGAATCCTAGGACAGAAGGGATAATTTTCTATTACATTCTATAGAACAGTTTTTAAAAGTCTACAGGGAAAATATCTATTACATTCTGTTGAACTCTTCCATGTGGGAGCCAACAAGGAATTTTCAAGCTGGCCCTGAGAAATGCATCATGTTATTACTTCATTGAGGCTACTAGGGTTGTCAGATACTTAAAAAAAAAACCCTAACATGGCGGGAAAAAAATTGGTTGAGCAAAATAAAAACCAACACGAAAGAAAGAGGCATTGCGCCTTTAAATCCCCACGCTCACTGCTCCCTCTGCCCCCGCCAGATTTGGCAGGGGCGGAATGTCCCAAGAGGCCTTCCATCCAAGAAAAACAGAAAAAAAAAAAACATTTTACATGCCTGGTATTTTGTTTTTTTTACTGGACAGAGGCCACAAATACTGGACTGTCTGGGCCAATACCAGACACTTGGCAACCCTAGCTATGTCTACACTGCTGGCTTTTGCCTCTCATGGGGAGGTATAAGGATCTTGCACAAAAAAGGGTTTTTGCACAAAAAGGAAACGTCTACACTGCTTGTTTTTGTGCAAAAACCCCTTGCGCAAAACCAGCTTGATTAGATTATGCAAATGAAGTGTGACAAAATGCTAATCAGTGCTTAATTTGCATACTCTCTGCTGGTAAAAGCCGACAGTGTAGACAAAGCCCGAGAGTCTACGGTTTTCTCGATTTGGAAGGAGACTCAAGCCACTGAATGCTTCTACATTAGGCAATGTGCTCTGAAGATACCAAGCAATATTCTGACTTCCTTTAAAAACATATAATGAATAGCATGATTTTCATTGAGAGATGTACCAATATAAAGGAAAAACTGGAAATGGAAGAATTATTTTTAGTAACTGAGAAAGGAACTATTCATTTCTGACCTGATAAAAAATGTGAAAACTCCTCTCTCCGGGATTCCTCATTACCACCCGAGACTTTTCCAGGAGAAAATTGGAGATCTTTCCACCATCTGGCTCCCCACCTGGGCTAAACTGGATTTCAAAATATTTTCCCTGTAATAAATAAGTGTAGGGTTTTTTAAATGATTAACAAAAATGAAGCTTAAAACAGGAAAATAACTAGAATATTTATTCTGTATCGCTTCAATATTTCAAGGTTAAAGTAGGCCTACACTATTAAGAAATATTCTTCCCCATTTTTCCATGTCTAGTTACTTAATTCTAAACTCAACATAATAATTCTGTAGTACATCAGAACAAAGATATATACTAACCCGTAAATAAGGACCAACTGGGGGATTTGTTTCTTCTACCTTATTTGGTTGGTGTAAATTAGGAAGATTGCAGAAAGGAAACACTTATGGCTAAATGTATTGCTGATGCATATGGGAACTACTCCAGTGTAGCAGATTTAAAACCCCATAAATCAGTACTTAATATGGCCTTCTGTTTCCAGGTGATGTATATCAATGATCCTTTTATCTTGGTGGGCTGAGGAATTGCATTAGTAACCCCATATCAATGGACATATACACCTTTACATTTATTCTGTGAGGGACATAATTAGGGGGGAGCAAAAGGGAAAGAAGCTTGTCAAGCATGGCTCACTGCTAATATAGTCCAGCAGGGGAAATACATTGAAAAACAATAAAGATAACTACAGTTTTGTATTTTCCCCCTTGCAGGATGTCAGATAACCTAGCTGTATATTTTAATTTGCTTCATATCTGAATATCTATCAAGACATTCATATTGTATTATATTCGATATGTTTTCAACAACGGCCTAACATTTGAAAGACACCGTTTAAAAGGGTAAAACCATTTTAATTTAATAGAGCTATGCCCATTTACACCACTAGGGTATTTGAGCCCACATATGTAACAATGTAACATATGCAACAATTTTGCACCCTTTCTTTCTACACCATACTTTGTAAGTACATGGTCCTTTCCAATTAAATATTGTAAGGGCTACATTATTTAAAACTGAATTTAGGGTATGTCATCAGGCCATTTTCCAGTATATGGAACAATTAGTTCCCATTGCTATGTGTAACATTTATAATCAAGTGCTGAAAACAACTCCTTGTTACTCTTTGGAAAGATGAATAAAACTTTGTGCCCAGCAGTGAAACCTAGCAACTGTTTCATACATTTTTAAAAAATCACAGCTAATTATTACATGGACTGGAAAATAGATATGTTCATTCTTTCCAGTTCAGTGCCAGTTAAGTTGCTAATTGTCTTGTTTACACATCAGACTGCTTGCAAATAGCTTCTCCCAAATAGTAATAGAAACAAACATTTGCAATAACATCTAGAAGACCTTGAAATGTGTGCCTCTCAGTTAATATGAAAACCAATATTTTCCTTCACAAAGATGCACAAAACAAACCCACACATATTGGGAGCAAAAGCAATCTTTTAGAGAGAGGAACTTACAAATCTGCTGGAGTTATTGTTCCGAACAGTCTTCGCATTCCCGAAGGCTTCCAGTAAAGGGTTTGACTGCAGAATAATGTCCTTCACATGCTGAAATATTTTTAAACACAAAAAAAAATCATCTTTGGGATCTTTATGAAGGTTTTGGAACGTTCAAACAAAACCATGCCTTGTAACTTTGATATGTATAAGGAGCAAGTATGCCTGTCTCTACAGGCGGGTGTTAGAATATTCATTTGGTCAGGTGAAGAGGATTCTGCACCATCATGTTTTCTGCAGAATGTAAGCTATGTTTTAAAAAAAAATCAGTTTCGAGTTTCCATACTATGTATGATAGTACATAAGAACAGCCATAATCCTTTCTTCCAACAGTGGCCAATGCCACATGCCCCAGAGAGAGTGAACAGAACAGATAATCATCAAGTAATCCTTCTACTGTCATCCATTTCCAGCCCCTGACAAACAGAGGACACCATTCCTACCCGTCCTGTCTAATAAGTATTGATGGTCGTAACCTCCGTGAAATTATCTAGTTCTTTTTTGAACCCTAATAAAGTCCTGGCCTTCACAATATCTCCTGGCAAGGAGTTACACAAGTTGACCATGGACCATGTGAAGAAAAACATTTTCAACTCTCCAAATGATTTTCTTGTATGAGAAAAAAAGTGCCATTCTACATCTTTCTGAAGAAGCAGGAGCTCCTAAAGATGCAGGGGTCACACACCTTTCCCGACCATCCCACGCTGATGTCAGTGAAATGGCCCGTGTGATCCAACAGCACCCGCAGCACCATGGAGAAGTACCCCTTGAAGTTAATGTACTCCATGGCAAGGTGGTTGGGGCCAAGATGGGGATGTGTATTCTGTCTACTGAGCTCCCGCAGTTAGGGAACCCCATCGTGGGAAAGCCATCCGCTATGATATTCATGTTCCCCAAAGTCACAGCCCTTCATAGCAGAATGGTATTAACTGCCTTGGCTCCTTGTATAACAGCAGCTCCCATTGTAGATTTCCCCACTTGGAACTGATTCCCCACTGAATGGTAGCTGTGAGGAGTTGCAAGCTTCCATTGGGTAACTGCCACATGCTTCTGCAAAGTAAAGCTGAGTCTAGACTGCATCCCTCTGCCGACAGAGGGATGCAAATCAAGCACTTCGGAAGCGCAAATGAGCCCGGGATTTAAATATCCCGGGTTCCATTTGCATATTCACGTTCCGACGCTGTGCCGAAGTAGTACAGGATCTGCCGAAAAAGCCCCCGTTGTCGGGAGAAACGCGGCAGAGCTGCGGCTACTCTTTACTTTCACTTTCGACACTGAGCCTGATCGGCACAGCGTCGGAACGTGAGTATGCAAATGGAGCCTGGGATATTTAAATCCCGGGCTCATTTGCGCTTCCGAAGTGCTTGATTTGCATCCCTCTGTCGGCAGAGGGATGCAGTCTAGACACAACCCATGAGGTATTCTTGTGCCTCAGTGCAGGGGCAAGCCATTTGCAAAGTTCCAGGAACGTGGCCTTGTGCATTTGGAAGTTTTGCAGCCACTGCTGAGCATTCCATCTCTGCATCAGTATGTGGTCCTACCAGTCTGAGCTTATAGAACTAGTAGGACCACATGGCGCCAGAACCGGCATTGCTCTGTGTCCAGAGGATTGACTGGCAGCTGTGCTAGCATCAGTGCCAGGCCTTTCATGAGCAATGCTTCCATGCTGTACCAAGCTTAATCCTCATTCTCTTCCATATCCTCATGTATACACCCTCCGATTTAGGTGCACCACGACACACGTCACAATCACAGCGGTTTTCTGCAAATCGGACTCCATGTTTGCATTGCTATGGCATCTGCATGGGTGACCAGAGCACAAAAAGGACAAGCACACGCCCTCCCCTTTATCTCATGTGGGGAGGAGTGGGACTAGATGAGTGCATTATGGGATGCTGGAGACATAAGCCATAACTACCTGCTGTACAGTTTTGGTCCCAATGGGCATTGTGAGCATAGCTCACAATGCAAAGCTACCCATGGTGCATGCTCTTTGAATTGATGGTAAGCTTCCTAATGAGGATGCACTCCTTTGGACTGCATTCGATTCTTCCCCTTAGTGAAGACATAGGCCTTTGACTTTTAAAGATGGGGTGGTAAGAAATCGACCGTAGGATTCGACCTAACCTCGTAGTGTAGATGTACCCTGAAAGTTTTGACTGCAAAAGGAATAGTAGCACAAGACCATGGGGGAGGGGGAGAAATTGGTTGGCACTGTGACAGTTTAAAATCAGATAGGATGGAAAGAAGTGCTGGGAGCATGGGATTCTCACTTATCCAATGACCATAAAACCCAGCCTAGCTGATCAGCCCAGAAGTTGAACCATTGGCTATGTTAGAGCCATTTGCTTTAGTGGGAACAGGCTCAGCTGTTAATTTCTTCCTCAAAACTAGCGTAGACTCACGTTTGTGTAGGGCAAACTGAATGTCATGCAAAAACAATACATTACCCAGAGAAACTTATCAGTTTAATCAACCTGTAACCATTGAATTTATTTTACATCTTGTACAAAGAGCTGGGATTTACTTAAAATAACTGAAACAATTATTTATAATATGATTAAGTTCACTCCAAAAATAACACAATGCACATTTCCCTTTGCTGTTGAATGTCTATGCAGTGTTCCCTGTATCATTGTCTCCCAAAACAAAACAGGAAGAATATAATCATCATTGGAGTTTGTACTAAGGCCAATGTATTATCCAAAGTGTGCATACACACACACACACAAATCCCACATGGTAAATAGTAGCCGCTACTTACCTAGAATAGTTATCTATCAATCAGATGATGATCTCATATAACTCCATCAGTGGAATTTTATGGCTAATATAATTCATTAGCTTTAGTTAATACGCTTATGTAGACAGTTCAGACAGTGGTTGCAGAATTAACAACACACAATTCATGGCTCCAACTAGTGCTCAGAAATTATACTTCCTGTTAGATAATTCGTTTAAAATAATGTTTAGAGGGAAAAGAGAAGGACCATTTACTAATGTGAGAACACAAATTTAAATGGAGATGTGAATCACTGAGACATAGTTCAATTCTGTCTAGAACGGAAAGATCTAGTAAAAATTCATATTTGACACTATAGAAAAAGGAGATTTTCTGAGGTTTTATTAAATAATGTTTGGTTGCCATCAATTATGCTTCTCTCCTTACAACTTGAGAGCACAAATTGCATTAAAAAACTCTTTCTCCTAAAAAAAAAACTTATAATCTTTAAATAATTCAGCACTAATGCTGAGAAACTATTCACAGGGGTCAGTTCAAATTACAATTTGAATCTCTGGCACTCTCTGGTCCAGCAACATCCATGATTTTAATTAGTCAAATGTTCGCTTACAGGTATGTCCAAGTTTCTAATGGTCCCATAAAGTTTGTTTACAGACACCAGACCTGGCTCTCAATGTTCTGTGCTGTTATTTAGTTAATTAACCCTTAAATGTCTTCTAAGAGTCCAGTAAGCAGTAGAAGTGTTGATAATGCTACTAAACTAATGTTTTTCAAAAAGGGCCCCACACCCACTTTGAGAAAGATGCTAATGGGCCGCTTTGGTCACTTACCGGCTCTGCTGCCACGGAGCGTTGTGGCTCCCATTGGCTCCAGTTTGCCATTTGCACCCAAAGTGAGCTTCAGAAAACCAATGGGGGCTGCAAGGCTCCATGGCTACGGAACTGGTAAGTAAACACTGTACTAGCCAATACTGACGTCCTGTGGTTCGGCAAATTTTCTAGTTTCCCACTGATCAGGTCCTGAGAGTGCCAAACTAGAGAGATTCAACCTGTAGAGGATGTCCATATTATGGACTCCCCATCCATAGGTGGAAGACCACCAAATCTGTGGAGAGGTGAATGCCTGGCCCCAACTCAGCTGACCCCTACAGAGTATAATTCACAGATGCCTTTGCTGTACAGCTACTCCAGTTCTATGCCAGGTGGTCTATGTTGGCTATATATGTGTGGTCAGCTGTTTATCTCATAAGAGACCTCTCTTGTTCTGTGGCTATACAATAAGATTTGACATGGTTACCTTACAGCAACTTTTCACTATATCAACTCACCTGAACCTTGGGACCACCTCCTGATATTTTTGAGATGTAACTCATGATATATTTAGCAGCTACAGTCTTTCCAGCACCACTTTCACCACTAGGGAGAGAGAAACAGAAATACACATCTCTTAAGTGGTTCAGGCCTGAAAACAACCTGGAACTCAATAAAATGTGTAATGCCGCCATATTCAGTAGCACTAAAACTATATAGATAAAAAGATTACATCAAAATAAAGTCTACTGGCAATTAAATCTTTGTGATTTAGTTTTCCAAGAAAACACAGAGAAAATGTAACTGAAAGAAGAAAGATAAATTGTCAGTCCTACCAATAAGTTTTCCAACACATGCCCAAATTTTACATTCTGATACACTAAATCAAGAAAGAGTGGTTACTTACCTCATGTTGTTCTTCGAGATGTGTTGCTCATGTCCATTCCAATTAGGTGACTCCAAAGCAGAACCTATGGAGGAGGGCCGGGTGCTGAAGCTACCGAGGAGTGGAGAACCGCCCTTCCCAGGGCGGTGTCCTCTCTGGCTTGACTGGCAAAGGTATGGACCAAGGACCGCGTGGCGGCTCTGCAGATGTCCAGGATGGGAACCTGTACCACGAAAGTAGAGGAGGCGGCCACAGCCCTCGTAGAGTACGCTTTAAGGGGAGGGGCCGGCACCCCCGCCAGGGCATAGCACTCCTTGATGAACACGGTAATCCAGGAGGAGATCCACTGAGAGGACATGGGCTGACCCCTCCCCCGTTCCGCAATGGCCACAAAAAGTTGTGGTGATTTTTTGAATGGTTTTGTCCTGTCTAAATAAAAGGCTAGCGCTCTACGCATGTCTAAAGTGTGTAAAGCTTGTTCTTTCCCAGACATGTGCGGCTTAGGATAAAACACTGGCAAGAAGATATCTTGGGAGGTGTGGAAGTCAGACATCACCTTGGGCAAAAAAGCTGGGTGTGCGCGGAGCCTGACCTTATCTTTGAAAAACACTGTGTAGGGGGGATCCGAGGTGAGCGCCCTGAGTTTGGATACCCGCCTGGCCGACGTAAGTGCTACCAAGAGGGAACCCATCGCTAATGGCTCAAACGGGCCCCAAGAGCTTAGAAAGGACCAGGTTTAGGTCCCACTGGGGAACGGGTTGGTGGACGCGTGGGTAGAGCCTGCCAATGCCCTTCAAAAACCAGTTGACCATAGGATTGGCAAACAAGATTTTCTCCCCTTCCCCCGGGTGGAAGGCCGAGATGGCCGCCAAATGAACCTTAATGGATGAGGAAGAGAGGCCCTTGAGTCTGAGGTCCAACAGGTAATCCAGGATCAGGGGGACCGTAGTCCACCTTGGGTGCACCCCCTTCTGGGAAGCCCAAATGTAGAACTGCTTCCATTTGGCAAGATATGTGGCCCTAGTGGAGGGTTTTTTGCTACCCAGCAGGACTTCCTGAATCCACTCTGAGCACTGAAGCTCCTCCGCCGTCAGTCATGGAGCTTCCACGCTGTCAACTGCAGCGATTGCAGATCTGGGTGGTGGAGCCTGAGATATCAGGTCCGGGACCAGCAGGAGGGCCATGGGTCTCTCGCAAGACAGACTGAGGAGGGTGGAGAACCAATGCTGTCTGAGCCATGCAGGGGCGATTAGGATCAGGAACACCCTGAACTCCTGCACTCTCAGGAGGACCTTGTGAATGAGTGGGAATGGAGGGAAGGCAAACAGTAGGCCCTCTGGCCATGGAAAAAGGAGAGCGTCTCTTAGAGAACCCCTCCCATCCCATGAGGGAGCAGAACCTTGGGCACTTCTTGTTGTGCCCTGTGGCGAATAGGTCTAGATGGGGAAAACACCACGCACAGAAAATAGAGTGGGCCACATCCCACCTTAGGGACCATTTGTGACCCACAAAGGACCTGCTCAGCCTGTCCGCAAGGACATTTTGGGAGCCCAGGTGGTATGAGGCCATTGGGTGGATATGGGTGGATATCCGCCCCGATGCAGAGGTCTCAAAGGTGGATCACCTCCGAGCACAGGCGAGGGGAACATGCCCCTCCCTGCTTGTTTATATATGCCACCGCTGTCGTGTTGTCTGACAGAATAAGGACAGACTTGCCCTTGAGGTGGAGAAGGAAAACTGCACAGGCTAGTCGGACTGCCCAGAGCTCCCTGATGTTGATATGCAGGGAGATCTCATCCGCAGACCACATACTTTGTGTGTGCAGGTCCTCCAGGTGGGCTCCCCAGTCGGTATCCAACGCGTCTGTGACAAGGTGGATGGAGGGCACTGATCTGGAGAACAGAACCTCTGCGCAGACCACCGCCTGGTGGGTCCACCAGTCCAACGCAAGGAGGATGGAGGCAGGAACTGTCACCACCCTGTCCCATGAGTGGACGACCGGGTTGTGGACTCGCGATAGCCACATCTGTAGCAGGTGCATACGCAGTCTGGCATGCTGCACTACATAAGTGCAGGCAGCCATGAGACCCAGGAAACGCATGCAGGTCCGGACAGTAGTCACTGGAAAGTTCTGGAGTGCCCTGACCGCCATCTCTATTGTGAGGAACCTGGAGCTGGGTAGAAAGGCTCTCACCGATGAAGAATCCAGAGTGGTACCCACAAACTCTATTATCGGGGTGGGAGTTAGGGTTGATTTGTCCAGGTTTAGAAGAAGATCTAAGTCTTTGAAAAGCCTGCAGGCTAAGGAGATGTGGGCTCTGACCTGCAACTCGGAGTCCCCCCTCAGGAGCCAGTCATCGAGGTAGGGAAACACCTGAATGCCCCTTTTCCTGAGGATGGCGGCCACACCGCCATGCATTTGCTGAAGACTCAAGGGGCTGTAGAGATGCTAAGGGGAAGGACCGTGAATTGGTAGTGGTCCGGGCCCACAGTAAAACGAAGGAACCTCCAGTGCTGGGAGATGACTGAGATGTGAAAATAGGCACCTTTTAAGTCGAAGGCAGCGTACCAGTCTCTGGGGGCTAACGAGGAAATTATGGACGCCAGTGTCACCATTTTGAATTTTGCTTTGGTGATGAAGGAATTGAGGATTCTGAGGTCTAGGATGGGACGGAGGCCCCCTTTGGCCTTTGGGACCAGAAAGTAACGGGAATAGAACCCCCTGCCCCGAAACTCGGGGGCGGGGGAACGTGATCTACTACCCCATCATAAGGAGATGTTGGACCTCCTCTTGAAGCAGAGGCTTGTGAGAGGGATCCCTGAAAAGGGACGGTGTAGTGGGTTGGGAAGGAGGGGGCGAGTGGAAAGGGATTACATAACCCTTTTCCACTATCTCCAGCACCCATTGGTTCAACCCACAGCAGGGAAGTCTAGATGTACCGCGGTTGACAAGGGAAGCCTTTGCTAACCGCTCCGGTATGCTTTGTGAAACGAGGTTTACCAGAGCGGTCGACAAAGGCTTCCCTTGTCGACCACGGCACATCTAGACTGTCCCGCTGTGCTGGATCAGCTGCCCCTCCCCGCTGTGCCGGATCAGCTGATTGTCGGCACAGCACGGCGGCCATGTTTATTTTAATGAAGCAGGGTTTATGTAAATCCCTGCTTCTTTGCCTATGCCAAATAAACTATTTTACATGGCTCCGTCGATGGAGCCATGTAGTCTAGACATAGCCAAGTGTATTAATTTCTAAGTTTTAATACTTTCCCTTTTTGTATGTAATGTAATTGTAAATGTAAATGTAATTCAGATGCTTATGCAGATCTCCTGTAAAACCAGACTGGAATACTCACAAGATGCCTCATCCTTTGTGTTTCCAGTCAATGCAGAAATATTGCAAACAAGTCATTAGAAATTTCACCACATTGTCTCCTCATCCTGATTACAACCAGGAAACACAGATCAAATATTAAACAATGTTTAAAAGCTGAAAATTTTTTTGAACTTCTCTTTTTTTTTTTTTTCTTCTGAATTCAGTTAGACGTCTGGGTGAAGATTTGGGTAAGTTATTTTATTATTTGAACCACGTCACCGAACCAGCATGAGAGAGAGAATGCAGCCATTTGGTTTAGCCTCTGGAAAAATCTGAATTACGCTACATTTGCTACAGGACGGAAAGTAATCTCTGAATTTAGAAGTATACATCAACAGGCAATCTGAAAACTAAAAATAGCAGAAGTACAGTTCTTCAAAGGAATGTCTGGCCAAAGTGGATACTCCACAACCATAAATTTTAAAAGCAGGAAGGATAAATCCATTCAAAGCTGAATCAGATATCTGTGCTAATGTCTAGTGCAAAATTCAAGCAAATATAAAAGGAAACAATGTTAAAATCGAAATGAACACCACTGATTTATACTTTCCATTTCCCATTTTCTCACTAGGGTTGCCAGGTGTCTGGTATTCTACTGGACAATCTGGAATTTGCGCTCTTTGTCTGGTAAAAAAATTAGAGAATACCGGACATGTGCAATGTCCGGTATTCTCTGATTTTTCCAGCTATGCACTGGATGAAAGCCTGGCGTGGGCGGGGGGAGCGGCTGGAAGGCAGGTCCACGATCAGCGCTAGGAGCCTGTGATTGTGCAGAAGCCTGGCAGAGGTGGGGAGAGTGGCTGAGGTGGGGGGAGTGGCTGAGACTCCCAGCCACTCCCCCCTGTCCCTGCCAGGCTTCCGTGCAATCACAGGCTCCCAGCACCGATTGCGGCCCCGCCTCCCAGCCTGGGAGTCCCAGCCACTCCCCTCGTCTCCGCAAGGCTTCTGAAATGCCCAGAGCAGCAATCACGACCCTGCCTCCCAGGTGGGGAGTCTCAACTGGTAGGTGGGGCCACAATTGCCACTCTGAACGGGGAGGCTTATTATGCCGCGTTCCTTTTTTTTTTCTCGACTAAAAAATACCACGTGTCCAGTATTTTTTGGGAGACCATCTGGCAATCCTATTTCTCAGCGGCGAGAATAGTAACAGATTTCGATAGGTTTCTACTCAATATTTTTAATGTGAAACTAACTCTTGAGAGAACTGACACACAGAAAATTACTGTAACATTAGTAAAATCTAAGGAGAAACCTCATGTCCATGATATGGTATTCAAATCGTCACACCATTTCAAAACACAGTCACAAGCAATTAGAATTAATTAATTGCAGCATCAGCTTTCCCTAGT